CCAGGCCGTTCTCAAGGATTCGAACTCCGGACCAAACTACCAGTGCTCAGGGAATTTACCAATCGGCAGCTAGTGGTCCTGAAATGATTTCTGTTAATTTATATAGCTTTTCAAAGCGTAATGCAGTCATAAAATGTGTTTTCCTTACAGCTACTAGAGATGGGATAGTAAAAAACTTAATTCATGTTTATATGTTTCACTGTGTTAGAGTAATGAATGCATCAAATTGCTTTGGTAAAGACAAAAATATACACGTACGAATCTCTGTCACACGTACGAATCTAAATATTTTGTTTTAAGTAAATTTTTTAAACTTTTGTTTTGCTATTGTTTTGCATGCTATTAACGAAAAACTAAACCACAAATATTTTTAAATGCAATCATAATTTACAGATGAAATTTCTCAAAATCTACGGAAAAATTTAAGAAAGACTCAATGCAAAATGAAAGAAGCTACTGAATGAGTTCATTTATGATACGCAATTAATTACGCATTTAGGATACAGACTATTAAATTTAGAAACAACGAATTTAGATTTAAGCCTTATTTGTTACTTCAGTACATAACTAATCATCTGTCTGAAAAATCATAATTTCTTAATAAGGAATAATTTAAACAGCATATATTCTGAGCGTTTCGAGGAAATTATTGAGCTAGTTCCTATAGCGGTCAGATCAAATATTTCCTGGAAATGCTACTCTCTGATTCAAGTAGTGAGTCCTGAGTTCAGTTTAAGTGTGAAGGGGAAACGAACTTGGAGCCTTTTGCCTATAATGTAACATATGAGCCAGTTTTCCTCAGAAAGTCGTTCACAAAAGCATCTGTTCTAAGGAAAATAAACCTCATAAGCTTTGTTATAGTTGACTGATATAGCCACTCTGACCGAAGAGATGCTCACTCATCATTAATTTTATATTTTCATCGACTAAAATTTATTCATAGCAATATTTACATTTTTTTGTCTTAAGATAGGAAACTGGCAAGAACTTGCAAGTTAAAAGCCTCTTTTTAACAAGCATTTTAAATTATTGAAGCAACATTATGTTTGAAAAGTTATTTGTGTATTATGGTAAGCATTTTTGCTGTAGTCACTTTGTAAAAAAGTAGTTTTATCTGTCATAATTCTGCATTGATTTAGTTAATAATTATTTTGAAGGTTTAGCTTAAACTAAGTATTAAAACAGTTAATTGGGCTTATCCCATAACAGCTTTCATTCGTCTTTTATAAGTTGGGAAAAGCAAGGTTCTTGCTATCATTTAGGAATTCGTTATCAATACCAGAAACATTCCTTTTTCTGTTAAATCATGGATTGGATTGGATTATTCACTTATGGCAAAGCACACGAGGGCTATCTGCCTAAAGGGAGGGATGCGTTTCGTGGAGGACTTTCTAAGGGAAACTGGCTCGTATACACGTTACACATGGGGAAAACCACGAAAACGCCCATGCAGCCAGCCCGTTCGCGGGATTCGAACCTCAGACCGAACTACCAGTGTTCAGCGTCTTTACCGCTCGGCCACTGGTGGGCCTGTTAAATCATGAAAATGGGTTATATAAAGCATACTGTTTACCTACACGTGCAAATATTCCAGAGTAGAGCACATTTTACATTCTTTCTCAGCACATTATATTTATGCATTTCTTATCGGATGAATGATTTGAATGTTTTTCAGATTTTAATCTATTTAATAACACTTTGTTAAAAATATTTGTGATAAAAATATAAAAGTGCAACGCATAAGTAAAGGTCGAAATTAAAAGATTTTCCAATAAATGTAAAAGAAAGCTGGGAAGGGGTTTAGAGACTAACTGAAATGAACATTAAAAATTTAGTGAAATTTTATAAAAATTGATTAAAAATGTTATTATAATTCGGTGAGTTAGAGATTAATGGCGGGTAAAAAATGAAAAACGTAGCTATGTATATATGAATAGGCAAACATAACGAGGAAAACTTAAATCTGAAAAACTAAATAAGCAATAAATTACTGAAACGATATAAACTAAAGAGATGCAGTACAGAAACACGCAAATTAATTGCATGTCTAATAACATAACAGCAAACAATTTTTGATTGTTATCAAAATCAGTTTCGATATAATACTAATGTATTACTAATTTCAAGTTAGCCAGGGATTGGAAGTTCATACTCCAAATCTGTTGACTAGAAAATTTTTCTGTTTCGATATGACAAAAATATTTCAAATATTGTCTGAAAGAATATCATGGAAACACAAATATGCCTTAGATGGTTTAATAAATTTTCTGAATTAAGGCACTAAGATTAAGTAAGTTAGTTTTCCAATCAGTGGTTATTTTGAGTCTGTTTGTTCCATCTCTTCCAATCTGAGCAAATCTCCATAAAAATGCAAGTGTATGCAGATTAAGCAGACAGATAAAAGTACTTAAGTCAGCAGCGGAATACAGCCAACTGTAGAGCGATCTCGTTACCCCCTTCAGGACAACTGTGAATAAACGTATTGTGATAGCTAGGGATTACTTGAAGTTATTTTGATTATTTCGTAAGATTAGGTGCTATGGTAATGCCAACATGGCCAGGAGGAAATACGTTTTGTCTCCAGGTAAGATTAGCTGCGTTTAATTTAAGTATGAATTTGAAATGTAAAAGCAAAGAAACACTTTATTTGTCCCCAGGGTTTAAAGATTAGTCTAGTTTAAGTATAGTTGTAACGTTTTTGTTATCCTTCAAAGTGCAAAGACTTTTATGTTTTGTAAACTGAAAATACATTAAAATAAATTTAAGTTATTTGGCTTTAAAACTTTATCTGATGTTGATTTTAATCTCAAACAAAAATTCACTGTATGACCTTCACTAAGGTTTGGAATAAAAGTTGCTAGAAATACACTGTATGTCAAAATTAAAGCATATTGACAGAAATAAAGCTAATTCAAAAATGATTAAAAAATTAAGACACACATGTATGTATATTTTAATTTTGCCATTATCTCAACAAATCACACATTTGTTATCTAAACTTTTGAAATTTTAATAAATTTTAGTGCTTATGAAAATTGATAAGTTGACTATTGCCAGTATTGAAAGTAAAAAAAAAGTAACCGCAATTTTCTGGAAACCAAAGAGCATAAATAATTTTTGAATAGTTATTTTTAATTTTTTTTGAATATATTTATATTCAGTTATTTGTCCCTGCGTGTAATATCTAAAGTTAAGGAAGTGAACGTGCATTGCAAATGTTTTGAAATTCTGTGCCAAAATTAAATATTGCGAAATAAAGATATTGGGTATTGCAAAAAATTAAATGCTACGAAATAAATTTAAAGAAGCTGCAGTTATAGAAATAAATTTTTTGTGCCCGTTAAGTCTAGTTTATGGTCGCAGCTGCAATTTTAAAGCTAAAAAATATATAAAATTCAGTAATTTAAACAATAGCTGTACTACAAGTGTTATTTAATTCAATTCATAAAAGTTTAAATTCGTATGCGCAGAATTTCTGGCAATATGACATTTCTCTTTCATGTCCTCAATGCAGGTATGTTTTCGGAGGACCGGCCAAGAGACCTTCCTTTATATCAATTGAGATAAAATATGATTAAATTTTGAGGGCATTAATGGAAATGTAATAAATGTAAACAATAAAAGTAACTTTAAAAACTTAATTTCATATTACAGTATAATACTTTAGAGAATAGAGAAGATATTTAGATGAGTTTACTATTAAAGTTTCAAAAACCTTAAAAAACTCATAAAAATTTAAACAATAAAGAAAATCACAAATTTTGAAAAGCTGAAATTTAATCTTCATATGCTGATTCAAATTTAATGACTTAGACAACTTTAAGCTAAGCATTATGATTAGAAGATAATTTTAAGTTAAGCGTTCATACAATTTTGAACTAAGCATTAAGAAATAATTCCCAAGAAATTTTAGATATAGAATATATAATCGTTTAATAAACAGATAATTTAAAGTTAACTTAATTAATATCAACTTAATACGAATTATTAATATTATTCCTAATATTAATTTATTAATCGATATTGTAATATAGATATTTAATATTAATATGTATTTAACACGAACTGTTATATATAACTAAGCTGTATGGAAAGTAAAATAAAAACTTGCAATAATATAGAAAAGGTTTAATTATTCAATACCTCCCAGCTGTGCATTAATTTATTGGATTACTTTTGCACAAAGCTTACAATAAATATCTCGTTCAAGTGACAATAATTTAATTTTGCCAGTCCACATCCGCTTTTTGACAACAGTAACTAACTTAAAAGAAGTTTGATTCGAGGTATTTAACAATGATGATATCCAAATATATTAAAAAAAATTATACTAGCAACATAAATCTAAATTAGTGAATATCATCTAATTAAATAACAAATGGTTTCGAACAATATTGCTGTCGAACAATATTAATTTTTCCAGTATATTAGGAAATTTTATTTTAGGGTTTTCCTTCACAACATGAAAATTCCCTTCTGCTTTTTAAGAAAATTGTTAATTGAAAATAAAATCATCAGTTATAAAAAACTTAAGTAGATTCAAATTTTATTCCTTCTAAGGAGAATATATTTTAGTATTCCAATGAAATTTAAATATACTTAATTCCAATATATAAATATAACCAATGAATGAAATGAATTCAAACCAATGAACCAATGAATATCGAAATTGACCATTTCGATACATTAATCTATTGATTAATGTTTAAGTATTTGTTTACGTTTAGATAACTAAACAGTTTTCTTTTCGTAGGATGGCAGGAAAGTTTTGTTTTAAAACAAATCTTCTCGATCCCTGACACTTTTTCCTTTACTTGAAAACAACAAATATTCTTTTGATATAAATACAAACATCCATTATAAATATAAGAATATTTACAGAATTGCAAAATCCTATTCCGAACTATTAAATAGAATATCAAATTATGTATATGAAATTTTAAAACTTGAATAGCAGTTAATTTTCACTTTTAAAAAACAAATCAAAAGGAAGCATTTACCTGACAGATAGATACGCAATTGATAATCAATTAAATCCTCAACTCTCCTTGCTAGTATTTTGCCGCACGGTCTCTGGGTTTTCGATCATCTGAGACTCGCAGACCCAAACCCATCTTCTGAAGATTCCGTTAACCTAGTTACGATATAACGGTTCGAACAACAAGTTGAACGAGCCCAAAGGGGAAATTCTAGAGGCAGAGGGATCGGAAAGAAGTAGGTATGGGAGAAATGAAATATCCATCTGCAGTTCTTTTCGCGCCATTTCAGTTACAGCTCTTTTCAACAAAATAAGGATTTCAATTGTCTTTAGATAGAAAATCTATTATTTATTCAACTCGACCGATGAATAGAGCTTTTTTTTAAACTGAATTCTGTTATTTTCCCGCCCTCCAGATTTTGGGTTTCGTGCAAAAGTTTATCGCCTGAAATAGCTTTTCTAAAACAGTTTACCCTATTTTTTTTTTTTTTTTTTAGATTGCAAATAAATGCCATATCTGCAGTTAATTGTATATTAGCATAGATCTATAATTTATAAATACAGCCACCTAACAGTAATTAGCAATTCTTTTATAAAACAATTATTTTTTATACACACCTGTAACTGATAATGGTATTTAAAAAAAATATTTTTTACATGAAACTGTCTTTTATACGGATAAACTTACGTCCTTCATATAAATCTAATTTATAAAATATGAGTTTCTGTTGTTTTATAACGATCATCATCTCGACTCTTTTAAGCAGAATGAATGATTAGTTTGTGAGGATTTATATACTAATAGCTAACAGTTAATTTTAATTTCCAGTGCTTTTCTGTCACTCTCTTTTTATCCGCACTTTTCATGCCAGAATGTAAATGAGACAGCGAGCGTTTATTCAGATTGAGGGAGAAAGAAGTATTGTTTTAAGCGAAGGTTACGCAACGTGACATATTAGCTATTTAATTTGGTGGCACTGAGTGCTTCTAGCCAATTAACTTGTCTGGCCGGTTTTCTATAAACCAGAGCCTTTCCTGCGCATCACTTTATCCTGTGAGCCGTTAGGCTAATCTATTACGAATTTATAATATTTTAGTCCAGGGTTACGTATTTAAGTCAGAAGTGTTGGCTTGACAAAAAGTGGGTCATTGTTACTTCTTTTGTGTTCATATAAAAGGGTCTTATACGCCCTTCTTCTGAATTTTGTTTTTTTTTTCACAAGACTAGAAGAAACTTCTTCAATAGTCCTTTTAAAGACTGTAAATTATGCTACCTAAGAATACAAGACTTTAGAAATTGATTGAGGTTGCAAGGTCTGTTGAAATAATGCGCTATTTTTATGTTAATTCTTTCCTGTGACTTCTGTTTCTTTTGTCAGGCTTCACTGGAGAGACAGAGAACTTTGACAACACAACAGCAAGCAGTTTATATTCGTAAGAGATCCATCTGTTCGCCAGTCTGATATTTATGAGTTAGCGTTTAGGCCTAAAGGTAGCGGATAGTTGTAACCTGATTAATTAGACATTGGAGATATGTGCTATGTGTTACATATTTAAGACTCTATTTCTGAAACTCTGCGGAAGCTGAATTTTTTAAAATTTTGTTTGTACTTCCCAAGTAACGCAGTGTTTATAATTTTTAGTTAAGTATTAAATTTTGTCTATGTTGTTGGATTAATTCTTGGAAGACGAAAATTCGTCTGAAGTACAAGAAGTTTAAATAAGCTTTAGTTTTAATAGTTTCTTAAGTCGAAACTTATAAGGTTAGTATAGATTAGATCCCTCAGCTGGTTTCGTTGGGAATCGACAGAAATCGAACAATTTTCGTAAACGAATCTTGAAATAATGCTAATTAGCAACTCAACCACTCTCCTTTTCCCGAAAAAAATGTCAGATTGATTCTTTAAATCAGTTTAAAATTACTAGTTTACAAAATCAAGGCGTTTTTGTTAAAAAGCTCTGTAAAGTTGGAATGTTTTCTACGTTAAAATCATTACTCATTGTAAAAGCAATGAGTTAAATCCGATCACTAAACTTTTTTTTTTTACAAAATTTGAATCATTTCGAAAACGAAAGCCATTCAGAACAGAAATATTACAGAACAAAAATAATGTAATCCCTTATTTGTGTATTATTCTGCATCATTTAACCTGTAGAGTCTTTTAAAAAATGTTGGAGTCATGAGACTGGAGAAACCCGCGATGCTGCAGTAAAGAGGGGGTATCATCATCACCATTTTAGTTCGAGCGCCACTTGTAGATGCATTTAGAAGTTTTTCGGTGACGACAGGAACCCGAAAAAATCCACAATGCCCTGACCGGGATTTGAACTCTGGACTTCACAACTACGAGCTGGATGTGCTTTCAGGTAAACCATGAAAGCACACGCGGAAAGGAGGGAGAAAATATGTTTATATACACGCCCTTTTAAGGGACGACTAGGGATTAGGGGATACAATTGCCAAATCTCGGTGGCGACAAATTATCGTATACCCCCCTTTTTTTTATAGTTCGGGCGCCACTTGTAAAGGCATTTAGAATTAGAAGTCAGGTAGCTGAAGAAATCCGCAATGCCTTCGCCGGGATTCGAACTTCAGAACTCCCCAATATGCGCAGAGCGTTTTTCCAGTTACATCACGAAGACATGCAGAAAGCAAGCAGAAAATACCTTACAGACTTTTCAGGACTTTATAGGAAATACCTTTCAGACACTAATTTCAAAAACATATTTATAGAACTATGAGTAATTTAATTTTCTTTCGTTCAACCATATTAATCAATAATAAACATGGAAAAGGTTTTCAGTTTACTGATTTACTTATGAATATTTTTTACTATAGATTTAGCTTTGTGATATTTCTAAACTTACTTCGAAGGCGTATGACGCATTAAAAATTTCGGGTTAAGAAAAACATCAGATAAAAAAGCATCCTTGAACTTAAGAAATTGTTAGTATTGAGTGTCATTCACTTTTATAATATCATATTATTTTGTCTATTATTATATCACCATCCATATCACCTGTGCGTGTCAGCATGATTAGTGAAATTTTTGGCTTGCATAGTTACTAAAAATATATGGAAATATAGAACTCTATAAGCCAAGTAGAAGCAACTTATTTTAAGTAGATATAAATAAATCTGAAGTTAAAAATCATTGCGGCTTTTTACTGCTTACTTAAAAATGTATCTACTGAGATTTGGCATAAATTAAAGGCAAAATGTTTTAACTTTTTATTAATATAAAACACCTTTTTCATATTCATTATATAATGAGTTCATTACATTTCTGACTTTTAATTTCATTTCTTCCTTTTTCTTGAGATTAATTTATCCCAGCCATGCACAATGGTGCAAGGAATACGTTATTTAAATTGAAAGGACTTTGTTGTGTGTCATTATTAACTTTTGTCTATATAAGACCTGGAATTGGAATAATCATGGGATGTATTAATTGATATAAGCAAGGCATTTTTATGTTTTTTTTATTTCTATTGCATAAAGTTATAAGTACTCTGTAAAACAGTTCTTATCTGATAATGCAAAAAATGGCATTTATGGAACGCTGTTTTGAATTTTCGGAGATAAATTTTTTTAGAAAATTATTTCAATACTTAATGCATTCTTTTGCGATTCTTTTTCAATAACTTCGCGGCCAACTTTTTAATTTGCTGTATATTTTCAAAAATGCTAAAATAAATTATTTTGAATAATGTATCTTTCAGTTTAATGATTATTCACAAACAAAGTAAACATGTCGAATTTCTATTCACTTATATGAAAAACTCAAGGTTCATCAAATGCTAAAACATGTATTACTGTGTAAGGATTATGTTAATTTTATTAACAGTTAAATTTTAAGTTAAAAGTTCCTTTCCTGTCCAATTCTTAACTTCAACTTACTACTTCCGGCCAGAATGTAGTTTTAGAATCACGTCTGAATACATAATGAGGAAGAGCGGTATTTAACCGCGAAGTTCTTTGGTCGTAGGGAGAGAGAATCAGAGTTTCTGATTTATGCTCGTCTGCCTTTTTGCCCACTCTCTCTCTCAAAGCTGTTATTACGCTCGGCCGTACTCAATACAACTGTTTGGCTAATTTAACTGCATTTGGATTGAACTGGGATAATTACGTTTTAGATACTATTCAGGGATACGAAAGATTTCTAAATTTTGGTGCTGCCAACCTTTGCTTAATGTAAAATTGGGGCAAAGTGCAGATTAAGCTGGCATAAGGTAGAACATTTCTACAAAATTATTACACTTGTCTAAATGAATTAATGTGCTATGTATATGCTATCTAGTAATTGGGTTTACCAAACGCTTTGTCTTCTTGAGATTCATGACACCTATTCGAAAATTCTTGAGTATTTCAAAGATTTTTAAACTCACTCATTATTGAAAATGACTTTTTGTAATCGGAAAAGATGGAAAAAGCAGAAAAATCATGCAAGATAAAAATAAAAAATATTGTGTTGATTTATACCAGTTTTTTATTTAATACCGTAATTATACCTAAACAATCTGTTACTGACAGATCTTACTCAAATAGTTTTTTACAGTTTACACAGACAGTTTATCTGCGCATTATAAAATATTTATCTGTTAAATGGGTTGCCGGAAAATTTGCATTCCATTTACATTTGGGCAAAGATGAAAACTACATAATGAAGTATAATTTAAAATTTCAGAGTATTTGCTTAGCTACTTGTAAGTGCGAATAGCAGTTCACCCAGTAGAAGTGGATCGAGATCGAAGACGCGTCAAGGCACCATTTAAAACGGCGTTCTCTGCTTTGACGTAACCACGATGCAACGACGCATCTCAATTCTGGATGTATGGATCGATCCAAATAACTTGGCTATGTCACTATAGCATTAATAACGTGTTATATCATTGTTCTGGGAGATTATCGCTGTTCTGTGATCCGAAATCTCACCATCAGAATGTCTAACCATCAAACAGATAAACGCAGAATTAAAACACTAATTTTATTCTAACTCATCTCTGTTGTTATCGTGTCATATTACATGGAAGAAGGGTTACCAGAACCTACTCCAAAGAGAGGTTGGACTTCTATACCTCATCACTATTGAGTATTTAAAGGACAATTTACAAACACAAA